GTTTTTGTTGTTGTTGTTTTGTTTTGTTTTCCCACCACAAGGAGATGCTCTTGAGGGAGAAACTGGCTATATGCAAGGTCTGCGTAAATAAGACTTAATCAATAAAAAATATTATTTCTGATTTGATTAAGACTTGATTTTAGAGATACTCATCTAGGTCACCGTATGTTACATTTTTTAAAAAGAGAGATGAGGTGTCACCCAGACTAACACTAGTTAAAAAAAGGTTTTTTTTCCCCAGCCATATGCTTAAATTAAATGGAATTAAATATAGCTCCTGAATGGCAATGGGTATGAACTAAATTATGAGTAGAATTGTGCATTTGTAAAATATTAGGTCACAAGCAAAATTATGAGCTTAATTTACTCACTTTCTCATTCATATATATCATGAAACCAATACATGAAAGTAGAAAATAAAGCAAAAGAGAATTTGCTAGGTATTTAGAGGGGGAAAATTAAAGTGCAAGGCACCCACATAAATTTACTTTTTCTTAATTTATGAAGTATTGTATCATATTATATTCACACTTACAATATAGCAATTGCCTTAAAACTTCACCCAATGCTAATATGATTCTCCGAAATATATTTCAATTTATCTTCAAAAGGTATTTTATCCTCTGAGTTTTAAAAGAACATGAAATAGATTCCATTCCTCTCTGGCTTTCCTAAATTTAACCTTCTCTTCTATTAAATGATTAAAAATAATTTTAAATAACAAAGCTGCATCAAGTAATTCATCTTTTGAACATGTCAAGGTTCTTTAAAGCTAAATTGCTTTTAGTAATAGTTGGTTTCAATTACAAATTAACTTTGATTTGTTGCTGTTCTTTTCTGTGACGTTTGACTAGAATGAATAACTGTGGTCTATAAATTCTAGTCTCAAACTTACACTTGGCAATTCATTAGGAATCATTTTGAGAGACACAGGAAACATAAAAGAAACAAGAATAATTCATCCATGTAAAGCTTTCTTCATCAGAAAGACCAAGCTCAAAAACAAATTATGTTTTTCATATTTTAATTTTAACTGAAAAGTGATTAAAATAAAAATTCACTTAAATGTTTTTCCTTTTGGGGCTAAAATAGGCCTCCTTTTAATAAAATATACTAAAGTTAAAGCACATTTCATAATTAACAAATGTTTTAGTCACTTACACTTTAAATCGTTTTGCTATAAAAACTGTCACAATTTCACCTTTTCAGTTTCTTATAGAAAAAGGTGAAATAGGGCTTTGCCATCTGAGTTGAAATAAAATTAGTTGCATGCTAGCTGACATCTTTAGCTTGGCAATGAAAACTTCTCATGCCAAAAGGAAACTTGTTCAGTGACGTTCACAGGGTTATATCTCTTTACTTATCTATGTCATTATCCTCACATTTTTAGAATCATTTTAAGATCAACAAGCTAGGTTGTAAGAACAGTTCATGTGGATATATGCAATACTTAAAGTCTGTACCATAGGTCAGGCACTTCTAAACACTGGTAATACAAAAGAGACTAAATTTAAATCATCATCAACAAATTCCACGTACCTATGTTTAACACAGTGAACAAATGTTCTTTTCCTGCCAGCTGGGCCGCAGATTTTTTTTAGGAATTTCAGCCTGAACAGTCATGTCCACTCAAGTGCATATAATCATCACTCTCTTACTCCCATACTGCAGGTTACAAGCTATCAGAAATCATTGAACATCTACTTCTTCCAATCCTCCTTTCTCTCATTATATCATCCTTGAATGGCTTTAGTTCTCTTTCTGTAGGTCTTGTGTATCAAGATATCTTGGCTAACCTAATAAGAACTATAAAAAGTGTCCCTCCGGCTACTTCATTTCTGTAGATCTTTAAATTTAAAGCAGTGAATCTCTACTTTTTCTGTTTCTATATTTAAGATGCTAAACTGTGATAAATGACTCAACATAAAAATTGTAACCACTGTATTTTATGGTCCTCATTCTAAACTGAGTGAGCCTTCTGCCGCACTTGTTCATCTTTTCAAGAGCTGTCTGACTGACAACCCTTTCTCATCCTTCAAAGAAGTTACTAGAGTAACTGAAGGAGAATTACCCTGACTTGTTTCTTCTGTATCTCTAATATATAGGAATGTTTACCCCTTGTTAGATGAATGAACAAATATTCCAAACTTAATGTCTCTGTTCAAGCTTTCAGTTTGGCTTCAAACACTGTCATCAATCTCAGCAGGAAAAACAAATGAGATTTTGCAAATATAATTCCTGAAATAACTGAATACTACTTTGTTTCTTGCTATGCATTCTTTTGATATTTTTCTATTTAATCTTCATGGCATTTCTCATAAAACAGGTGTTATGATTCACATTTTACACTTGAGGAAGATAATGATTCAACTGTTTACGTAATAATTCCAAGATAATACACATAGAATGGGGCAGGATGATAGGTGTCTGACATCATGTACAAGTCTGTTGACAAAGTTCTGAATCTTATTCATTAAAATTTCTCTATATCCTACACTTGTACTTACAAATTTTTTATGATTTGCAAATTTCAAGTTTGATATTTGTTTTGCAACCCTGATGCAATTAAAAATATAATTTTTATGTATGGATCTTTACTCAATCTTGATTTGTATATGTGAAGTAGAGATTTACTTCTTTTCCTATAGAGATGAATGTCTCAACACCATTTTCTGACAAGCTTATAATTCCTCGCTGATATACAATGCTAAATCCCACTGTCTTCATTAACTCTTTCATATATACATGTATCTGTAGGTTCTCCATTCAGTTCCATCTAGTAATTTATGTAGTCTTACATTGATACCCTATTATTAAAATTATTAGTGTTCTATAATGTTTATTAATATGTAATATGGTAGTTTCTTCATATTGCTAGACTTCTTCAAAATTTCTTGGCAATTATATATTCAAAAGTAATTATTGCATTGAAACTTGTTCAGGTCATATGGGACATCTTCTAGTGATAGAGATAGAAAAGAATATTATTTTATTCTAAATTTAGAAACTACAAAAATCTCATGGATTTCAAGATTCAAATTAAACTTTAATCATCAAAGATTCAAGTTTAATTTATTCTTATTAAACCACAGAATTTTAGGTATAGAAGGACTTTTAAAGATCATCCGGTTGAACTCATTTTTTTTTATCTGAGACTTGGAGAAGTAATTTGCAAAATATCACACATTGAGTGTCAGAGTATGTACTAAAATTACATCTATTAAGTGAGTAAAATAGAAAGATTCTACTTTTAATTCTCATAATATTTAAGCTAGCTTTTATTTTTTTCTGATTCCAGAATTCATTAACCAAAGAGTCAATGATAATTCAATGTATATAAAAAGATGACACATAGATTGGTTAATAAAAATAATTTGGAAACACATTATTAATATAGTGAAATATATATATAAATATTTGCGTTATATTTGAATAGATTAATACGAATTGAATATCACAAAAGGGAAAATAGAAAATCTATTTCTAGTAAAGGAAGTGTAGCTATCTCTAGACCCATATTCTCAACCAATAAGAAAAGTCAAGTTTAAATAAACAAAAATCATATAGATAAAATGAGAGAGCTAAAAATGGATATGAACTTACGAATATAACATACTAGGCAGAAGGAAAGGGGAGATAGTTGAGCCAAGATTTTGAGCTACTTCTTGGGATTTATTGAGTCCCAAGGAGCAGTTGAAAGGCTCAAAAGCCAAGCAGAAAATGGTTGTTTAAGAACACCAATTGAAGCAAACTTTCTAAAATCGTTAATAGGCTAGAATAAAAACTTTCCTATTTATGGCCCTGTATGGAGGAGGCAAGCTGGAAAACAGCCCAGTTTTACATTTGGCCCCAGAAGTGCTATGTCTTAGGAGTAAGGATGAAACAGGATCAGACAAGTCTTTTCAAAGACATATCTAGCTTCAAATCAGCTAATCTGCTGATCAGTTTCTATTCTATCTACCAGCCAGAGCAAAATACATTAAATTTTAATATATTAAATGTTTATAAATTTTAATAAAATTTTTAAAATTTAAATTGTAAACTTTCCCCAAAGGAAAGTAACACTATCCAGACTGTAAAATTATTTTTTCAGGTTTTCATAGAAACTATAAAAACTTACATATAAAACAGTAAGATGTTGAAAAAGAAAAAAATGCATGATAGACTAAATAATAGATATAATAAAAATAGATCTACAGGAGATTGAGAGGAGTTTTCAGGTGTGGGTGTGATTAATGCTTAAAAAAGTTAGGAGTAATATGCAGAATTTTACCATACAAGAGAAAACCACAAAAATAATCCAAAAACACAAATTTTAATAAATGAACAAAGTGATGAACATATCATTTAAACAGCAAAGTGGATTTAGTGAAAAATAAATTGAGTGTATGGGAAAAATTAAAGAAAATATCTAGTCTGATCCATGAAGAGCAAAAAAAGAGGAAATAACTCAGAAGTACCAGGGAAAAATATAAGATTCAGCCAAAATAACTAGCTTTTCTTTAATCAGAGTTTCAGAATGAAAGGAGAGAGAGACTGTTTTAGCAGAATTAATACTTGAAGACATAAAAGCTAATAATTATTTTAAAATTAATAAAAATAACTCAAACAACAGATTAAAGATTTAACAATTTAAATTTAACTTAAATTTAAGATTTAACAATTCCAAGCAGTACTAATTAAAAGAAAACCGTCATTTATGTTTAGTTTGCTTAAAATAAAAAACATATAAAAATATTAAAAAATTAAAAGACATAGTTAAATTCAAAAAGAAAACAATACAGCGAAATTCACTATTCAAAACAACTAATAGAAACCAGGAAGGAAGAATGAAATTTTAAAAGCATAAAAGAAACAGCGGCTAAGCAAAAGTTCTATATGTATGAACATTTCCTTAATGAAGATACAACAAAGAAAAGAGAGTACTTGTCAATGTCCACATTAAATGGAGTTCTTCAAACAGAAGTAAAATGGTCGCAAATGGAAGAATGAAGATACAGGATGGGAAGAATAGATAGGTGACTACTTCTAAATGAATGTGCGCTGTGTAAAACAAAAGTGACATCTTGTAGAGTATAAATTCACAAAAAATATAGCACAAATACCAAAAAGGGGGTAAAATGAATAAACAAATTATTTGTGTTATTGTAAGAAGTATAATCAACCAAAAAGGTATAGCAAATCTCAATGTATTTGTATCCATCAATAATCTCATGCAATCAATAGCTATAAATTTTTAAGTGACATACATATAAGAAATGGGATAATCTTTCATTGTAATAGAAGGTTTCAACATATCTCTCTTAGCAGCTAAAAAAAATTTCAAGGAAATTACATATTTAAAATTATTAGCAAAAGGAACAGATAGGCTCCTGATAAAAAGTGTCAACAAAAGATCATGATATCTGCAAGGCAAAAGAAATTTCGTTTTCTGAAAAGCAGAGACATAGCCTTTGAATCAAAATGAAAGTGTGCTTTGATCTAGGCCAAAAGAGTCTAAGATTATAAAGACAAAAACCTCAGGGTAGGTGGAGATTAGGGCAGACTCCTGAAGGGATGAATTTTAAGTCCAAAACTACAAGTTTCTTTTATTCGGTGGCTCCAGGTGGTCAATTGTGGTGACCTGCTGGTCTGTTGGGGAATTTTAGCTGTAGTTTGTTTCAACGTTGATAAAAAGAACTGGTCTGGTTTGATAACAAAAAAGGAGGTTTTGAAACATTTTCTGAAAATGCAGAGTCCATGACAGCTCCCTCTTCCTGTCATGCCTGCCTGGTTCTATTTCAAATTTTAAGCATCTCAGTGAATCACAGGGAGTCTACTTTGTCTGCCAGCTGGAGCATTATTTTCACAAAGAATAAAAAGTGGAAGAGAAATTTTATTTGGAATATATATTTGCAGTATTTTTGAACTCTGAGTAATTCTTGGAAATAAGGATTGGAAAGCTAGAAATTAATCTTGTCCTTGTAATAGTGCAAGTTCTTTGAAAGTTGGACTCTGATGCAGTAAAGAGTAAGCCCATGAGATTTTGCCTATCACCAAGCATGTAGTCACAACAAGTTTTATTTCTTGAAAATATACTCTTCCCCTAAAAGCAACTTAATCAATACTTCCCTTACTGGGCTTTTAATGCTGCCCCATAAGTAAGTGAGAGAAAACTCACAGTACTCTCTCAACTATCTTCAAATAAAAATTTGAAAGAGTCTAGATTTCTCTTCCATGTAAGCTACAATTAGGTGATAGGCTAAGTTTTGCAATTCTGGTTTTACATACCTCTATTTCAATTCCAGCAATGATGAATTTAAGAATTTTCTTTGGAAATTGGTGTATTTATTATGTTTAAGTATTTCTAAGCTTTATAATAGAAGGATACAAAGTTTTATATAATTAGAAAAGTTTCATTTAAAACCCTTTTATATCCTCACATATGTATATAAGGAGTACAATTTAAGGCTTACAAGCTAATTTACTATATCCTTAATAATGCCTAGTTCCAAATCATTTCAACATTTTTTGAACAGGGCCCATTGTTACCTGATTCAGATCAGAGCAATCATTTCATACTGAAAAGACTGCTAATTTTGATGGGTTTTTCATGTGTTCAAAAGCAGATGTGAATTAGGTAAATTAAAATACTGCTACATATATACTAAAAAATAGGAGAAAAGAATACAAAGTTTAAGAAGTATATTCTGCTTTAAGTTTAGGAAAGGAAATCAATTAGGCCTGCAATTGCTGCATGGTTTCCTGTATCATCTTTCAGCTTCTCTGACCCTTGAACTATGTTTATAGGTGTTTGGCTCTGCAGTGCAGGGTCCTGGCTTTTGTAAGATAGACTTATTACCAAGTCAGAAGCAAGGAGAACAGCTACAGATTTCATTCTGTCATCTTGAAGCTGTAGCTCATGCTTGTGGGTTCTAATCCACTTGGGATTTCTCTCCTTGACTGCCGCCTGCCCTGTAGACTTCAACCTGCATCAAGGAATCACAGCCTTAAAGAGCCTGTTCAAGCAGTCTCCACAAATACATAAGCCAATTTTCAAGGATAAATACTTTATAATCTTTATATCTATTTATCATCTATTTATCTGTCGTTTATCTATTATAGTTTTAGTTTTGCTTGTCTGGTTGAATGCTGATTCCACAGGGGGAAAAAAAAAAAGAGAGAAAAAGGAGAAGAAAAATATTGATTTGCTAAAAAAGAGCATTTAAATTATAAAATTAAACTGGAATGACCAGATTGGGCCCAATTTGTCCCAACTTGCCCTGTAAGGTATAACAATTTCAATTTATAGAAACTGACTAAGAGCATGTATATGTGTGTGTATGTGTATGCTTTCCTTTGTAATCTTCAATTCTATAACAGTCCTTAAAGAGTCTATCTTAGGTGCTCTATCATGAACTCCCCAAACTTTTTTTTTTCATCTTTCTCTGTTTGTGTTAAATTTATAACTTCTATGATATCTTCACATTTAATTATACTGTAAGGAACAAAAACAATAAATATACATCAAATGCCCATTTGTTATGTTAATGGTAAGTAACCCATAAATCATATGTGTGTCTATATACCCACATATATATTTCATATTATACATATGTATATTGATCTGTTCAGGCTGCCATAACAAAGTACCATAAACTTCATACATAGACAATAGACATCACAGTCCTGCAGGAAGAAAGCATGAGATCGGGGTGCCAGAAATGGTCATTTCTGCTAAGGTCCTTCTTTTGGCAAGCAGACAGCCATGTTCTGGTTGAATCTTCACATGGCAGAGAAAAGAGCGTGAGAAAGCACAAATTCTCCAGTGTCTCTTATAAAGGTACTAAGGTCACTATGAGGGCTCGACCCTCATTACCTCATCTAAACATAATTGTCTTCCAAAGCTCAATCTTCCACTACTATCACATCAGATTGAGTGTTAGGGGTTCAACATATTAATTTTGAGGTGATGCAGTTCTCACATGTATACCTCATATTAAGCACTTGTTTCCATATAATATGATATTATTACCAACACATTTTCTACATTCTTTTGGGGAATTTTATAATTTAGGTGATTTTGATCATTTCTTTACTATTATGAACCACAAAGCACATGAAGAATCTATAGCAGAGAATACTAAACAAAAGTTAGATAATTCACCTAATAACCCTCATCCAGGAAATCTTACTTAGCATAATCACCCTTAAGTAAAAACTAGATAACAAACTTAAACCGAAGGTGAAGATCATGACACAGCTTCTCAATGTTTTATTTTAAAAATTTATAGACTCTCTTGAAAAAGTTACAAAATGTTTGAAATCAATATTACTTTACTGGAGCAACTTAATGGGTTGGACATAGTTTTAAAAAGGGAAGATTTATGCAAAGAAAAGTGTGGAAAGAATCTTGAATTCCATAATAAAGAAATTAAATATAATAGAAAAAAAACAGAAAAATACTTGGAATTATTAAATGTGGAAAAGTTACAGTTTAATAAGTGACAGAGAAAGTAATTTTGTAATGATATGGATTGTGTTTGGAACAGGACAAAAGTCAGTGCTATAGTAATCTAAAAATGAGTCAAATGTCTGTGTTAAAAGGTGACTTAAAGGAATCATGATAAAAAATGCTATTCTCAGAGACCTGATCATTGAAGAATATGAGACACTTGAGGTATTACCTGTATGTATTTTATATGTTGTATAATAAAGCATTTGTGGAGCAAAATATATTTTAAAATGCATAGAGTTTGGAATCAGGGTGAACCATGTTCCATTTTTATCTAGGTAAGTTACTTTTTAGACTTTGGAAACCTCAATTTCTACACTTATAAAATAGAGCTATCAGTAGTATAGCAGTAGTATAAGGTAGAATAACATTGAGGTCAAGGAAACCTCAATTTGAGTTCCTAAATTATTATTAGACTGTGCAAATATCTTCATCTCTTTTTTTCTTCAAATTAAAAATGACCATAATGGTCATAAAATTGGTCTGAGGATTTACTGAGCTGGCAAATGAAGAACAACTAATAAAATATCTGGCACATTGCAGGGACTCTATAAATGTTAGTTTTCCGATTTCCTTCCTGGTAATATCAAGAGAGCTAAAATATGATATGAAACAGTTGGCAAGATATTAGCTTTGCAAAGGGAATTCTCTTAACATGGAAAAATGTATTTTCCCTTTCTTTCCTTTCCTTCCTTCCTTCCTTCTTTTTTTTTCCTTCCTTCCTTCCTTCCTTCCTTCCTTCTTTCTTTTCTTCCTTTTTTCTTTCTTTCTTTCTTTCTTTCTTTCTTTCTTTTTCTTTCTCTCTCTCTCTCTTTCTCTCCCCCTCTCTCTCTCTCTCTCTTCTTTCTTTCTGTTATTGAGCCAATCTCCTTCTGTCGCCTAGTGCAGTGGCCCAATCTTGGCTCACTATAACCCCCACCTCCTGGAGTCAAGCAATTCTCGTACTTCAGCCTCCTGAGTAGCTGAGGTTACAGGCAGGCGTCATCAAGGCCTGCTGATTTTTGTATTTTTAGTAGAGACAGGATTTAGCCATGTTGGCCAGGCTAGTCTTGAACTCCTGGCCTGAAGTGATCCACGCGCCTTGACCTCCCAAAGTGCTAGAATTATAGGCATGAGCCACTGCGCTTGGCCTTTATTTTCATATTTTCTAAATATAACAGCTAAGGTTTCAATTATTGCATACTAAATTACTTTCTCAATTTACCTGAAGGCTTGAAGATGCAACTTCAGAGAATGCACATTTTCAGAGATCAAATATTTAAGAGTTATATAAAATATATAAAATTCGAAAATATCTCAAAGGGAATTTCATTACCGGTAGGAAGACAGAAAGCTTCCCTGAAGGGGTTTCTTGGTAGACTACAACTTTATCCTACATAATTTACAACAAATATACTTTTAAAACACTGTTGCAAGCAAAGAAAACATCCAAAGAAAAATACAAATTAAAAAAAAAAAAGTGAGGTAAAAACTGATCCATACAAACTAGTACACAGAAAATCAGGTTGTACTCAGG